ACAGCAGGTCCTGCAGGGGTACGTCCCCTTTCTGTCCTGCCCAGTCCCCAGGAGAAGGACTGTCCCCAGGCCACCCCGCCTGGATGGGGATAACGCTGTGCCCTTGGCTTGTCTTCCAGCCACCGACCTCTGCAACGGGGTGGATCATGGCTGCGAGTTCAAGTGCGTGAGCGCCGACGGCTCCTACCACTGCGTGTGCCCCGAGGGCCAGCAGCTCCAGGCTGATGGCAAGGCGTGCAGCAGTGAGTATGGACACGGCTCGTGGCATCCTCCTCATCTGGGCTCCTGGATAGGGCTTACCTGGAACTGGGCTAGGAGTCTAAGTGGGGCTTTGTCTGAGCTGGGTTGGAAGAGCATGGAGATGGATGTGCCAGGTCCTCAGAGAGATGGCCCAGAATCACAGAATAGCTGGGTTGAAAAGGGCCTTAAAGATCATCTAGTTTAAACCCCCTGCTGTGGGCAGGGTTGCCAACCACTAGAGCAGGCTGCCCAGGGCCCCATCCAGCCTGAATGCCTCCAGGGATGGGGCATCCACAGATTCTCTGGGCAACCCGTTCAGGAGCTTTGAGGAAAAGTTCAGGAAAAGGGACAACTAGGAGGGACTTTCAGGGGACACTGGGATGTCAGTGGAGGTTTTTGGGCTGAGACCCCTGGGCATGCTTTGCCCTGCTTCCAAGCCTCACCCCAGCTGCAGTTCCAGGGGGTCCACACAGAGTCCTGCAGCCCCGCAGCTCTGCCCCAGCCCATCTTCACTCGGCTGGTGCCCACGGCCAGGCTGGTCCTTTCTCACCTTCCCCTGTGCCCACAGAGTGCGGGGCTGGGCACGTCGACCTGGTGATGGTGATTGATGGCTCCAAGAGCGTCCGGCCACAAAACTTTGAGCTGGTGAAGCAGTTTGTGAACCGCATCGTGGACCTGCTGGAGGTGTCCCCCCACGGCACGCGTGTGGGGCTGGTGCAGTACTCAAGCCGCGTCCGCACCGAGTTCCCCCTCAACAAGTACCACAGCGCGGACGAGATAAAGAAGGCGGTGATGGAGGTGGAGTACATGGAGAAAGGCACCATGACGGGCCTGGCCCTCAAGCACATGGTGGAACACAGCTTCTCTGAGCTGGAAGGTGCCCGGCCTCTCTCCCACAACGTCCCCAGAATTGGGCTTGTCTTCACGGATGGGCGCTCCCAGGATGACATCTCCGAATGGGCCAGGAGAGCAAAGGAGTCAGGTGCGGGGAGCTGGGGAACCCCAAATTGCAGTGCTTTGGGTGTCCCAGGATGGTTCCTCGGGGTGGCTGGCGCTGGGGCAGGCTGCAGCATCCAGCCTCGGGGTCCGTGGGGGCAGACATGCCTCTGCCGTGGTCGTGGGGTCCTCCGAGCAGCATCCTTCCTGCAGCAGCCTGCGTTGCAGCAGTGCTGCCACGCTCTGGCCCATCCTCCCCAAATTCCTGCAATGTATTTGGGAAGCCCAGAGGAAATCCTGCATCTTCGGCTTTGCTCCCTGTGGGCTTGGGGCTGCGTGATGCAGGGTGGCCAGTGCAGTGCTCAGGATCCATCCTTGCCATGCAGGGATCATCATGTTCGCTGTGGGTGTCGGCAAGGCTGTGGAAGAGGAGCTGAGAGCAATCGCCTCCGAGCCGGTGGATCAGCACTTCTCCTACTCAGCAGACTTCACCACCATGACCCACCTCGTGGAGAACTTCAAGCTGAACATCTGCCCGGGTGGGTGCCCCAGGCCGGGGAGTGCCCTCCTCTCCCTGCAGAGCTGAGCATGGTGGTTTGTGTGTCTGTCACCCTGTGTCATGCCACCCTGGGCTGGGTTGAGCCTCGGCTGGCTCTGGATCTCAGCAGGCTCTTGTGGGTGGTCAAGGGGGGTCTCAGGGAGGGACTGGAAGAGGAGGTGGTGCTGGGGGGTTCAATGCAAAAGAGATGGTGTGTGAGTGGCCACCCCAGTGCCACTGCATGGGCAGAGTCTGGGGTCTCACCCTGCCTTGAGGGATATTACCTCTGCTCCTTACCCAGACCTGTGCTGCTGCTGCTGCGGGTGGAGGAGGACCACGCTGGGTTACTGGGAGGGTCTCCCTGTCCTGGAGTAGGTTGTGTCTTCCCAGTGCTCCTGGACCCCCAGGGGCTTCCATGGGGCTACAGATGTTGGGTCAGAGTCTCCCCATGCCACCCTGGCTTGAAGGCAAAGCAAAGTGCAGCAGTGGCTGTCCCTAGCATGCTGTGACTGTGTGTGCGGCAGCTCCGTGGGATGCCCAGTGGGATGCGTGGCAGGATGCCCGGTGGGATGCCTTGTGGGATGCCCGGTGGGATGCCTGACAGCAACCTTGCTGGGCTCACAGAGATGCAGCCTGGCAAAAAGGAACAAGGCTGGAAAAAGAGGAGGAAACAGGAGATCCCCGAGGGTCAGGTCCGGCTGTGGTAGGTGGCTGCAGGGACAAGGGACTCGTGCTGTGTGGGAGCAGGGGAGCGCTGGGCACCGTGGGGCCATGGCTCTGACTGCACCCAAACCCCCACCTTCACAGAGGAGGGCAAAGGGGAGATGGAGATCCGCAGCCCATGTGAGTGCGAGGCGCTGGTGCAGTTCCAGACGAACACCGTGGCCATCCTGCAGAGCCTGACCGAGAAAAATATCCTTTGGGGTGATGCCTGGGCTTGCCGGGGTGCAGGGCAGCCTGGACACAGACTACACATGGGGAAGGGAGGGAGGGACAGATGGATAAATGGGAGCAGGGAAAATTTAAGGCTCCTTCAAGGGGAAAAAGCCCTTTGCCCACCAGACTGTCAGCCTTACACAGTTTCCTTAGCACGTTCACTTGCTCAGATGACAGCCAGACTTGAAGACTTGGAAAAGCAGATTGCCACCAAGAAGTGATCCTTGCAGAGGGCTTCAGCACTTGGACGGGGCACGGGGACGTACAGTAGCTACGTGGAATTGTTATAGGTTATTGTAAAGCATCAGTGTTTGTTTGTGTATTGCAAAATCCCAAGGGGGACATGGAATGTATTTTTAAAAAAACCCCCCAGAACTTGAGCAAAAACCCCTGCTGTGAAGCCAAGGGGTTCAGCTGTCGCTGTTGCCTCATTCCTCTGAACTGGCAGGTCTGGGATGAGGTGGGATGACTGCACAGGCAGGCTGGGCTTTGGATGAGATGTGACACCTGGCCTTTTCCCAGAGCAGCAGGGATGAACCACCCTTGCGCAGCCCGCACCCATGACCAGCAAGCTGCTTTGCAAGAGAAAAAACCTGCAGTGATTGCACCCCGAGAGCTTCTGCTGTCTCAGTGTCTGCTGCCGAGTGGTGGGGCAGGGAGAGCCGGGCACCACGAGCAGCGCAAGTGATGCGTGTCCCCCAGTTTGCCCAGCCGGCTCCCAGCACAGTGCCTGGGTGTGCACCCTGGGAAAGTGGGTGGCAGGAATTGGCAGCTCCCCTCACCCCTGTTTTGGCAGAATTGTTGGGGAATTGGCCATTATCTTATTTTTTTGATTTTTTTTTTAAACACATAGCAAAATGGTAATAATTCTTTCTATAAATATCTCTGTGTGTATATATATTTCATTTGAGAGCAGTGTAGTGCTATTTTTAAACACTTATTTTATATAAGGAAATTTCTATCCTGACAATAAACACCCTGAAGATTTGTATGACATGTGCCTCTCCTTTCGGCTGGGCTGCAGGGCCATGGAGGCATCTCCGTGTCAGAGCAGGGGCCTCAGGCTTTTGAAAAGCCCCCCTGTCCTTAGGCTCCAAAAATCCTTCAGGAAAATCCTTGCTCTATGGGCACACCAAGGATGCTGCAGCTTGGCCCTGGCTGGAGGGAGCCAGCATGGCAGGGACACAGCGTCACCATTCCCAGTGTTCGCTTTGGAACCTGTGCTTGTCAGAGCACGGGGAGCTCAGTGCCCAATTTTGGGGGATGTCAGGGTGCCACTGACACACAGGGGATGTGGCTCTGGTGCTGGGATGTGTCTGCTCAGGGCAGGGGAGGCACTGAGCTCACAGCTGGCTGCACAGTGAGGGATGCTGAGGCAGCTGGGGACACACCTCCCACAGGCACATGGTGCTGAGGTGACTTTTGATTCACAGAAGCCCACCTTGGTGTAGCCCCCGTGCCCCACGCTTGGGGGGCAGGAGGTCTCCACTTAGTCCTGTCTCCTGCACGTGGGCAGAGGCTGCTGGATGGGGACAATGACAGTTTTTGGAAGGGGTCCTTCATGTACCCACCTTGCTTGCTGGTCCTGTACCCAGGAGGTGACAGCAAAGCATGACTGAGGAGCTGTTGCTTCTGAACTAGCAATTTGTGTGGGAGGGATTTGTGTGCCTGGGGGGCTCCTGGGGCTGGGGAAGGTGCCGGGCAGCCCGGGGCTGGAGGGAGGAGGAGGAGGATTACAGCCCTGGGCTCGCACCGCTTGGGCACAGCTCCTTGTGCCCCAGGATGCCGTTAGTGGCTCCAGCACCCACCTTGGCCAATCGGCTTTGCAGAGCCTGGGCATTTCTGCTGCCATGAGTATTCCCGGTGGGTTTATAGGGCACGTTTGGGGGGGATGAGGGGGCCACATCCTGCTGGTCCCACTTCCAGGAGCAGTTTGCTCCATGGGACTCGTCCTAAGGGATGCGAGCTGGGACACAGCGAGGTTTTGTGTGCTGGGACACGGCAAGGTTTTGTGTGCTTGAGGCTGGGATTTGGAGCTGAGGTGCAGGAGGCTGAAAGCAGGACCTGGGCTGGGGTGTGGGGCTTGCTGGGACTGCTCCAGGATTGGAGCTGGGAAGTGCTCAGGGATTCACTTCCCAAGCTTTTTCCACATGCAATCAAAAGCAGTGGTTCCCTCGTTCAGCACAGGGTTTGATGGCTGGTGAGCCAGGCTCTCAACCCTGTTGGCATAGATATGAGGCTACAAATGCCTCAGTCTGTTTGCTGGGCTGGCAAACGAAGCACTGCTGATTAGCTCTGCACATATCCCAGCAAGGAGCCCCACAGCCCTCCTAGAAGCCCCATATCCCACCCATGCACACCCCCAGCCTCCCTGTCCCTCCCACCTACCCCACAGCCCTGCAGGGAAAATTAAAA